GCGCTTAGAAATTCTCAGAAACTTAAATTTTTTAAAAATTATCGATTTAAGTAATCAAAATAATGAGCAAGTAAATTATGAATATTTATGTTATGTATTGATATTAGAGTGATTCCCAAGCATATAGATTAAGTAATTTCGTTGTCATTTCAACTATAATGATTTTAAGAGGTGTTTTCGCAAATAATTATGATCGAGTCAAAATTATACAATCGTGTTTTTGAACAATCAAATTAAAGATAAAGACATGAATTTACCTATATCAAAATTTCACTTTCCTTAGTGGTGTCATAGTCCTTATACTATTCGATGAAAGGAGGTGCATTTTTTCGCGGTGTCGCCTTAAACCGCGAATATCTTTGTTCGCACAACCTCATCTTGTCATTTATATCGATGTTTAAAAATATAAGTTATTTGTTATATAGTTAACAGTTTAACAATGCCTCAGTATCTCCTGTATTCATTGTTTTACTCATTTTTAACATTTTTTCTAATTCTTCTACTTTTAGTAATATCAGTAGTTTGGTTTAACCATTTCTAATCCAACTAATATAAAATATAACAAATATTTCGTAAACGGCCAAATACTTTAACAGCGTTTGAGTTTTTGGGCAAAAGACTACTTTTTTTATTTTCTCTAATTTTCTACAATTTAACTTCCCCCGCTATGAAATCTGTTAAATATTTCACCTCATTCCTAAAATGAGGATTTTTTTCCTAGTGGCAAAGTTGTGGATTTACTCATTGTCATATTTGATCTAATCCAAGGGAATACATGCTAGTACGTTGAGTTAAGTCAAGTTTGGCATTACTATCGGTATGTTTGCATTGAGAAACATCCAACATGTAATGTTTTGAAACAAATCGCATAAAATAAATCACACATGTTTTGTTGATGGTGGCGTTTGCACTCACAAAAACTGTGTAAAATTTTTAACAGATATTCAAACTTATCTTTCAACATGACAATATTTCTACAAATTTGTTTTCAAACATATTGTTTCTGTAGTTATAAAGTTAAAATAAGTTAAAATATGTAATGTACAATAAACTGTCAAACATATTTCATTACATGTTCTATGACTATGCAAACGCTTTTTGATACATTGACAGAAAACAGTGTTTAAAACAAGTTTTTGTGTGAAAATCGCGTTAGTGCTAACTCACTGTAAGAGATGAAATTGTACGACTAAAAAATTAATTAAAAAACTATTCTATCAATGTATACTCTAATACATATAACTCGAGGAGTACAATTTAGAGGTGTCTAGTTTTTTTAGCGATAGCAACAAATTTTCACTATCTCAGCTATAAAATATGATAGTGTTTTACGATAAAAAATACAAATAAAATAATCATTAAAATTTCAAAGCAGTCTTCTTTATATATTATACTCCCACTAAGCATAACACCAGCGTAAAAAAAAACGTTATTTTCTAAATATAGTAAAAATATTGCTCTGTATTATTTAGTTACATTTGTTATATTACTTTTTTTATTTTAAAATAGCTTTAGAAATAGTTTTATAAATATACAAGGTGACATCGGGTATTATAAAACTACAGCATGTTTTAATCGTACAAAAAACCAATCAAATAAATCCAGTAGTTTAGAAACGAAAATTTGTTTTTCGAACTTTTACGCATGATGTAGATAACTTTTTATGAGGAAGCTCAGTAATCTAGTACTACGAATTTAGAAAGACACTTTTAAAAAAATAAGGGTGGCAAATGAGCACCAGTGCCATCTTATGATAAGTGCGTATTGTGGCCTATAGAGATTTTACATTTATCCTCGATTAAGAGTCAAAATACAGATGCGTTTGTCACACTTGAGGACCAAAATGAAATGCTTTTTTTGGTCTCTACACGCACCATACGAAACACAGCATCATTAAGCTGCTATTTTACGCTGGTGTCCTGTGAGAACGTGGTCCTTCCCCGGTCGAGCCGAACCATTTATATTAACACAATAATATTGCGCATGTGCTTTATGTAAAAATACATGCTGTTCAAGTTTGTTTAAAGTTATATTTCCTTTGTATTTATCTTTCTGATTAAAAATAAATAATTAACTATTTTAAAATACTCCAATGAACTACTAATAATCTATTTTTATTTATTACACAACAAGCCACGACATCCTATATAATGGTGTAAAGTTTCTATTACATATAATTACGATCTTAAATAAACGATAAAATTAAGCAATAACTATATAGGTATATAAATATATATTTAGCATTTTATGGTGACAATCGCTGGCAACATCGAGTTTTAAAAGATAGCTTAGTGTTAAAACATAATTTAAAATTTTTAAAATAAAACAATTTAAAATAAATTATAAATTAACGAAAACAATGGTAATATAATTAAAAAAAAACTGCTTCTGGTAAATAATCTTTGTTCTCGTTGATTTTAAAATAATTTTAATGAAATAATTATATCCTAGGCCTATATTTAAAAGATAGAATACCTACAAGTATCAGCTCCTAAATATTTTATTTAAAAAAAAACATGAACCAAAATGTAGTTTCATAAATTAATTACGATTTAAATTTAACAATTTATTAAACAATTTGGAATACTAGACAAATACTATATTTTTGACGCGTAATGGTCGTGTAAGAACATCCCACTGTCCCACATCATCCCGTGGGTGTCGTAAGAGGCGACAGGGGGAAACAAATCAGGAAATAGACAGCAGCGTCTTTTCCGCAAAACTGCGGTTGCCAACCCGCTTGCCAAGCGTGGTAACTATGTGGCAAATATCTATGGGGGTGGCCTATGTTCGACAGTGGCTTTTTATTGGCTGTACTGGTGTAACGGCTATATTTTTCATTAACACATGTTTGGAAAAATATAAATCATTGATGATGTTGGATGCAAATATATGAATCCTAAAACGCAAATGCAGATAAAATATAAACAAATGTTTAATACAGTCACATATCCATAGAATACTATAATACACAATAGAATGGCTGTCAATCTTATTTTGTACGAGGATCAGCGTCGCCGGGAGCACACATACAAGCAATTACGTCGTATTAGACTACTTTTAGACTTTTGATTAATGTTTTTGACACGTAAATTTTTCTCTATTTTTGTTTCTAATATTGACAAAATATAAATAGTTTCGACTTACTGGTTGTAGATTATGTCTTCTTTATTTAAATTCAATATCGTGTTTTTCAGTATTTGCCATTTTTTAAATAATTTGCATGCAGCTGCTTACGCTTGACACGAAAATTGGAAACGATTGAGTGTTGACATTTATACGTGTGAATTGACGGGTTAGTGATATGTTAGTGGCTACACGGGCTCCGCCCACTCCCCCGTTCTATTATGTATGTATTATAGTATTCTATGCACATATCATTCTACAAAGAATGTTTTATATTTGATTTTTTTCAGCACAGACTTTTCAGAAAGGATTATACGGATTGAGTGGAGAATTCAAAACAAAAACAATTTAATTGAAATATTTAGAAGTTATTAAGAGCCTCGTATTGGCAAGTGCCCATTATATGGAGTGACGGCTTGATGACACAAGTAGGTAGTCGATGGGTGCAGGTAGGTAAAGGTACAATTCCGTAGCCGACTGCAGGCAGCAGCACCCCGTGTCCAGTCTGTTCCGAGTGGACATGGACATGATGATGTTTGAAATTAGCGATCGCGATTTGTTTTATTGTATCTTTTGTTAGAAGGGAAAGAAGATGATTATGACTTGCTTTTACTATACAAGTATAAAGAGAAAAGACGAAAAGGTACACGTTTTCTGTTACAATGCAGAGGAAGTGAGGGAACGTGCAGTGCGGGATATTAGGGCCACCTGGTTTATCAGTTTCTCTTCCTCGGAATCGGTGAAACTCATTTTTTTAAGAAAAATTCAACGTATTCGGGCTACAGTGTCGTCTGCCGCTAGGCAAACGACGTGTCGCTAGCGACGTAACGTATTTCACGTGTATTTTGAAACAGTTAGAAACAAGTTGTGTCGCGACGACACGTCGCTTGCTGCTGCTATCTGCAGTCGGCTACGGAATTGTACCTTAAGTGCTTTGTGGTGATGTATGGTGGAAGCCTATGTTCAGCAGTAGACTTGCGACGGACTGCGGTGACGATGGTGATGATGATGAATAAGAACTCTGTTATAAGAGTGAATATCCATTTTAGAAAGAGACTAATGTATTTTTCATTAGTTTCGTCTCCCTCGCACTTCTTCATATTTACTACAAACTGGCCAGGCAGACGTTGCTCTGTCTGTGCCGATGACCATTTGTCCTATAAAAAAACCTTAAATTGGAAATGAAAAATATTGAGTCATTTATTAGGATAAAAACTACCCCATCTCTGAAATTAGACATTTACAAAATTTCATTGAAATCATTTCAGTAGTTTAAAGAGTTCATTGTGAACAAACACTGTGACACATAATTTTTATATATAAAGATGAAGCGTACATACAAGAAGCACAGTCTATTTTTGAATAAATTTCTTACACATTCATGAACCACTTCAAACTTCTGTTTTTTTCTATAGTAGACGTTTACTGGCAGAAGAGAAATAGGAATGTATATATTTTAATAAAAAAATGCAACTAATAATATTGATCAAAATTGAACGCTGTGCTCTCAACATAGATTTGAAAATGCAATAATACATATAATTTGTTCACGTAAAATATTCACAGCGAATATTTTGTAACTGTCAACAACTATTTAACAAAAAAAAAAAAAAACTAATAGCCGCCATTTTTAATTGCGATGTCATTTCTTATTTGTATGTCGGACTAGAAAATTTAATATTGTCGAAATAAATAAATAAAAATTGATTACATTACATAAGTAGATAAATAATAATTTATAGATTAGGCATAATTATTGCACAAAATTGTACTGGAATACGACTGCAAGGTGTACCACTTCCTTTTTGTTCGTAAGAAAGCACAAACCTCTCCAACTGTTCTTCATCTTCTCTTCTCTTCTCCTTCAGCGATCTTTAATCAACCTCCTTTATACTTCGTTTTTCAACACGTTTCTGTTCGTCAACCTGTAAGAGATATACTATACGCGTTAAGTCTCGTGCTATCTCTATCACTTTAAGTCAAAGTGACTGTAACAACACATTGATTAAAACTGCTTGTACGGATTGTATCGCGTTTAATTTTAATTATTTTTAATTCCCGACGTTTCGGGTGCTTTCCAGCACCCATGGTAACGGGGGACTGAGGTGACTGACGTCCCACTGCTGGGCACAGGCCTCCCCCTCATTTCTAAGAGTGTTTTAGGGCGAGGAAGTGTCCGTCGCGCTGCCCCAATGCGTGTTGGCGAACTTCACATGTCTTCGAAATATATTTTTTTCTTATTCCTCAGACATGCAGGTTTCCTCGCGATGTTTTCCTTCACCGCCGAGCACGTGGTAAATCAGCACTTAAAACTGCAATTAACAATTTCGTTGGTGCCGGCGGGGATCGAAACCGGGTTACTCGCGTTCTGTTATATTTACAGCGAGCGTTAAACATCTGAGCTACCACGGCTCTATATCTTTAGCAAAAGAAGGCATATAAACAAATAATTCCAAAAAGTTAAAAATCAAACGTTATAATTAAATATAGAACATAGAATACTATAATACATACATAATAGAACGGGGGACTGGGTGGAGCCCGTGTAGCCACTAAAATGCCACTAACACGTCAATTCACACGTATAAATGTCAACACGAGATGTGTTTTGACGTTACAATCGTTTCCAAATTTCGCATGAAAATTATTTAGAAAATGCCAAATTGCACCCTATTTGCAAATAAATATGTATTAAAATTTAATGATGATCTTGAACCTTAATCAAAAGTCTAAAATGTGTAAATTTACTCAGTCTGTCAAAACAGCGAATCGGGTTTGGCGACGCCAAACCTCGTACAAAATAAAGTTGACAGCCATTCTATTGTGTATTATAGTATTCTATGTTTACGTATAATAAAAACAAATATAGAAAAAACGAAAACGCTTACGTCGGGTTCGCCCAAAAGTGTACTAGCAAGATATGGAGCTCGGAGAACTCCGCGCCAATACAGCTTCTCCAGGGGTCTGTTCACGGACCAACCAGCGCAACGGATACCCAGCGACCTCCAGTACTGCACTTCACTCCTGCAACAGAAAGTAACGGGAAATTAACGGTTTCACCATTTCGTCGTGATCGTGTCGTAACACGAGACTGTTGGAAACGCCAGAGGAACATAAAGACATTTTATATCAAAATAATATTACCAGTACTGCCATCTATTGTGTATTTTATGAGTAATGTGTATTGCATCTATAGTGTATTGCATGCGTTAAGCGCAAAGCGCGTAGGTGTGTTCAACTAGCGCCTAAAAATCAAGAATCCTACGTTTAGTCGCATGAAATCGTATTTAACAATAATTTTGAACATATAAATGATATAAAAAGCACATTGTCAGAAAGATAAATGATTGTTGAACTTATTATAATTTATTAAAATAAATCCATTGATATTTTTACATTAAAAAAAGACTTTAGTGGCTTATGGTGTCGATTTCTCAAGTCCGACTTTTCTTGACGTTTGACCGCGGCTCCACATTATCGCCGTGAAGCTCCTTAAACAGGCGTGAACGCGAATGTGGACGGTTTTCGCGGGATTAACGCACGTTCGCGCCTGTTCCCCGATCAGAGTCGGTGTTTTGTCCCGCGACAACGGGTTCACGCACCCTTCGCGCGGCGTTCACGCGCACACATCCACATTCACGGCCCCGTGCCAGTTCGTTTCGGACTACAAAGGCGTACGGACAATGTAGTTCAGTCATACACCATCTTTTTATTTCCAACGCTTTCTAATAGATTTCTTGTTTTAGATGTCTAAATAGTGATATGTTGCCACAGCAAACAAAGTTATTGCAGCATCAGCTTCTACGTCCGTTTCGCGGCGAGTTTCACGCATATACAGGAAAAGAGAGCCCTCTGACGACATTTTATTGCAGACAAAACTGAACTACTAGCGCCTCCTACAAATTGAATCCGAACTAATTCGCTATATATAGCTCTACATATACCTCTTCTATAGTAGTAAAATGTATAATATTGTTCGTATACATACTGAAACAGTTTTACTGCCTACTTTTCGTAATACTGTTTTTGATATTATTAAAAGTAGGTAAAACAGTTTCAGTAAGTACAGCTGATACCCATATACCAGTATTTATGGGGTATTTGCAATGAAACAAGAAAGATAACGAGGAGCACACGCAAAAAAGTAGCCACCATTTTGACTTTCATTTTCGTTTGAATATTTGACGTTTTGAAGTTTAGGGTGGCCAGTATCATGATCGATTGATTTCATGATGTTTAAGTTTTTATTTTATGTGAAAATAATATTTGTTATAAACAAAATCGCCAATAAATTTATCGTGCATTTAATTTTATTTTTAAGCTAATTTTAGTTTCTTTTTAAAAGTAGCGACATCTGTGAAGACCTTAGACCAATAATAAACATAATGTTTTCGGAAACAAATTATGGATGGCGCTACCTTCAATTGAATTCTTGTGGTCCAAGGCAACTGTCCTACCCCTGGTTTCACGAACGATTGTGAGCATCTCGTGAATGTGGAGGGCACGACTTGTGCCGTGAATTCACTGCGTGAATTCGCGCGTGAATTCACGGCGATAATGTGAACCCGCCATGACATAAAATTATCGGAATATTAGAAGTAATGAGCAGTAACGTCATTTGTGAAAACTTGTGTGTATTTGAAATACTTAACAAAATTGACGTATACATAGCATGACCGCTTAAGCCATATTTGGATTTACCAAAAGTTATTTCTTATGAATAAACTATGGGAACGTATGAAGGAACGTTCTTTTCACTCGCTCACTTTATGTCACAGAAAAACGTTGTTTTATTTTATTAAGTATCGTTTGTGATATGAAACTATGAATCAAAAAAACTAACAACAAATGAGACAAACATATACATCTGTACGATTTAGCCTACGAGAGAATGAGACAAAAACAGTACACAGGGTTTCCAATTATGTTGGTCTTCTCTTTGTGCGGTGCTTTACAAACGGTTATAGTTTTTTTTATAGTATAAGGGTGACAAACAAACATAGTCCACCTGATGGTAAGTGGATATGCTGTAGCCCTTAAACATCTACATTTATCCTATATAAGAATCATAATGGAGATCAGATGCGTTGTCAGCCGTGAGGACTAAGATGGAATGCCTCGTTCCCAGTAAAAAAGAGTCTCCGGATCTCTACACTCATCATACGATCATAATATAGCTGCAGCGTGGCTCTACCACGTATATAACTTAATATAATATAACTGTTAAATAAAGGAATAACTGGATAAATGAAATTAACAAATATCTAAGTAATACTTTGTTTTTTACGTCTTTCCACTTTTTTGCAATCAATTTTGATTGAACTTAAGTTTCATTGAACTTCTTCCAAATGGCCTTGCTAGGAATAAGGCTTCTTAGAGGCCATTATATATCAGTCATTTAACACTAAAGTTTAATAAATAGCGATTAAATATACAATAAAAAGAAGTGGTTTATATGTTACGCAATAAAACAAAGTATTACTTAGATATTTGTTAATTTCATTCATCCAGTAAATAAACGAATAATCACAGTATTTGTTAGAGTGGCCTTCCATGGTACACCGACCTTATTTTAACGTCGTCGATTCCCGAAATCAGTGAAGCGAGGGACCGTACTGCCGAAATAGTAGCGCGAGCGATACGCCGCCGCGTCTGTTATTTTCAGTTCTATGGGTGTTTGTGTAAGTAGAAGGACATTTTAATAATTGGCCTTCGAAGGAGCATGGCCTTCCATGGTCCACTCACCTTATATAAACTTGAAGTGTCTCTTTGTAATGTGAAAATAACAACTTTTTACTAAATTCATATGAAAGTGTATATACAGTAATTATAACAAAAAAAAATTATAAAATCTTTGTCCGTCTGTCTGTTTGTTCCGGCTAATCTCCGACTAATAGCTGGACCGATTTTGACTTGACTTTCACTGGCAGATAGCTGATGTTGTTAGGAGTAACTTAGGCTACTTTTATTTTAAAAAAGTTTAAGATTTCTGCGGAAAAAAATTAATCTATAGTTCGGCCGTTCAGAGAATGCGTTCTTGACACGTCGCGATTGAACTGACGACGTAACTTTGTAATGGCGTTGCAGTTACGATAAAAATATTTTTGCTGGTTGTTTACCGTTTTAACAATTGATGAGCATTAAAACAACATTATTATATCAATAATCAATGAATGTTATAATTTTGTGCCAAACTGAGTGTCAAATAACTTGGTAAACAATATTTTTCTAAATCTATACTGCGCTATTACAAGGTTATGTCAGCGCTTTATATTTGTAGTGCTGTGCTAACAATAACAGGCAATAACAGCATCATAATCAGTTCTTATACAGTTATACTTTATAAAATAATACGTTTTGTTTTTCTTTTTAAGAATTTGAAAATAATGGACTACAAGATAACTTTTATTAAATATAAAAATAAAACTACGAACAAACCGAACGCGCGAAAGAAAGTAGCATTTTTATATTTAGGTTGAAAATGGTAACCCCAAATGGCGTTATGGGCCGCCATTTTGTGACGCTAGAACAGTCGTCTGTTGTCGTTTTGTGCGCATAGACCACGTTCTTCAAGTGTTTTCGATCTGTTTTTATTTGATTACCCGGCTTTCGTTTAATGGACTGTTTCTGCTTTTCAAACTGACATCGGCGCTAAATCGGACTTCGGTTGTGTTTTGTATTGCGTTCTTTTTACTTTTGGTGCATAATAATGCCTAAACGTGGACAAACACTGAAAAGTGGAGCCCGTGAGTTAATCATCAAGCTGCAAGATTACTTTGAGCGGGAGCGGCAAAATGGCGGACCCCTGTTACCTGTCGAACAAGTACAAGAACGCGTCTCTCAGGCGCTTGGAGTTAGCAAACGAACGATAACAAATATTAATAAAGAAAAGTTCGGCTCTACTGGCACGGAAGATAATATTTTACGTACTCCGAAGAAGAAACGTAGAACTAAACCCGTGACAGATATTGACACCTTTGACGCCGATGCAATCAGAAATCATATATATGGTTACTATTCCAGAAATGAATATCTCAACAGAAAGAAGCTTTTGGCATCGTTAAGAGAAGCTGGACTGTTTAGCGGGGGTAAAACTGCTTTAACCAAAATCTTAAAAGATATTGGTTTTTCGTATAAAAAAACAGAAGAAATATTTTATTAGAACAATACGACATAATTTTAAAACGGATAAGTTTTTTAAGAGAAGCAAAAAATATTGATAACTGGGATAATGTCGTGTTTATTGACGAGACATGGCTAAACGCCAATCACACGGTTCCCCGTTTTTGGACGGATGATACACAAGCGTCGACGTCGAAAGTACTAATGGGTAAGGGGGCCCGTCTGATAATATGCCACGCAGGTTCTGCAAAATACGGCTTTGTGGAGAACGCGTTACTGGCATTTCAATAAAAAACCACAAATGACTACCACGAGGAAATGAGTGCCACTACATTTAAAGAGTGGTTCCAGAACGTGCTTTTGCCCAGCCTACCAGAGCCTTCTGTAATATTCATGGATAATGCCTCCTATCAAATACAAAAAAGGTGGTTTCGGTTCAAATACAGAAACCACCTACCCAAGCTAATAAAAAAGAAGAAATGGTGGCTTGGTTACAAGCAAAAGGCATTGACGCAAATATGCAGATGCTAAAACCAGAGCTAATTAAATTAGTTCAAGAAAATAAAGCGGCAAATGTGCGATACGAAATCGATGAACTGGCTCTGGAGTACGGTCATCGCTTGGAGTGGTTCTAAGAATTCCACCGTATCATTGCCAATATAACGTTGAGCTAATCTGGGCTCAAATAAAAGGTTACGCCGCCCGCCACAATACTTCCCCGCCATTCAGCACGAAAAAGATGATGACCCTATTAAAAGAAGCCTGCGGGGAAGTCACAAGAGATGACTGGGCAAAGGTTGTTGAGAAGACTAAAAACCTGATTGTGGAACATTTTGACCGAGATATCAGGATTGATTCTGTTATAGATAATAATATAATTATACATGTAGGCGAAGATGATGATGAACACACCACCTTCTCAAGCGAATCGGAGTCTGATTAATATTCTGTACGCACATTCAATTCAATGTACTTTATTGCATAGAAATACATATTGTAACTTTGTAACAAAGAATAAATAAAACAATTTTATTATATTAATATTACCTTTTTTTGGTTTCCACTTAAATTACTAAAATATAAATTTTACATGATTCGCATATTTGAAATTGTTAAAAATAACGCAGCGGTTCATTTTGGAGGAACGGTAACGAACTCAGTGTTATGTTGCGCCCATTACTAGTCGTGACTAACTGATAGGTGTCAGGAACGCATTCTCTGAACGGCCGAACTATAATTGTAATAAATTCCACGCGAACGAGGTCCCGTTAAATAAACAAAGCTAGTTAAATAAACAAAATTAACCATATTGAATAATGACTATTACCATATCCAATCCATTCATAACAATCCACGATTTCATAACTTTATTTATATTAAACGAGCTTGCCAAGTAGACGTTCTACCCTTTTCGACGACCCTTTGTCATGTCCTATGAAAAATCCTTAAATTCGTAAAAAAAATTGTGGGTCACTCATGGGCAAAAAAAACTGCCTTATTTTTCAAATTGGACCAAACTGCACACGGTGTGCAAATTTGATTAAAATCGGTTGAGTAGTTTAGGGAGTCCATCTCGGACAAACAACGTGACACGTAATTTATACATATCAAGATTAGTCGTGTTTACGCCATCTAACATCTATTTTACGTACCACCTTGAGAGTCAATAAATATCCGTTCAATAAAAATTAGATGGCGCTGTTACAAAGCAATTTAATTTGCAATTTTCTAGATTTGGCTTTTGCCGTGAACTACCCACACATGTCGTTTTTTTTTAACAATAAACTCACGGGCTGACTATATCCTTGTGCAGCAGCACAGCGCTGGCGGCGCACCAGCGAGCGCTCCAGCGCCACAGAAGCGAGTGAACCAAGTCCGCGACACGAAGCAACGCTTGAACGGGCAGGTTGTCACCAAATCTGCACACACCTCAACATTGTTTAACAAATAACAAATCTATCATATACTAATACGCCAAGAGAAAATTTTATAGAATAAGGTTAACGAGCACACAGCCCACCTGATATTAAGTGGATCATCATCATCATCATTACAGCCCTTCACCAGTCCACTGCTGAACATAGGCCTTCCCCAAGTAATGCCACAAAGCACGGTCCTGAGCCACCTGCATCCATCGACTTCCTGCATGTCTTACCAGGTCGTCACTCCACCGGTACGAGGCTGCCACTCGAGAACCTTTCATCCCCATCGGTTATCGGTTCTTCGAGCTATATGTCCAGCCCATTGCCACTTCAGCTTACTAATCCGGTGGGCTATGTCGGTCACTCTTTACGGATTAGTAAAATACTTACAAACACATAATTCGAAATTAGATTTATTTCGAAATATGATTAGAATTACGTTATATATGTACGATTTCCTCAATTTAAAATCAAAATTCAGTATGTTTCTTAACCAGTAAAAAAGGGTCTCCAGTTCTCTATATTTACCATAAAATCATAACAGTGAGTTTGCACTGACGCGATTTTCACAAAAAAACACGTTTTATACACTGTTTTCTGCCATTGCATCAAAGAGCGTTTGCATAGTCAAAAAACATGTAGTGAAATATGTTTGACAGTTTATTGTCATACATATTTTATTTTACTGCCTCGTTGGTCTAGCGGTTGTAGTAGTGCGACTGCTGATCATGAGGTCCTGGGTTCGAATCCCGAGTCGGGCCAAAAAATCAGTTATTGAGTTTTTCAGTTCACGAAAAAGACCACGCTCTCACAGAATATCAGCGTAAAATAGCAGCTTAACGCTGCTGTGTTTCGTATGGTGAGTGTAGAGAACCGGAGACCCTTTTTACTGGAAACGAGGCATTCCATCTTAGTACTCACGGGTGACAACGCATCTGCATTTTGATTTGTAATCGAGGATAGATGTAGATGTCTATGGGCCGCAGTAACCACTTACCAATCAGGTGGACTGTGTGCTCCTTTGTCACCCTATTCTATCCTATCAAAAAGCATTCCTCTACTACGTATAAAAATCTCGCAATAGATTAATAGCAAAATATGAATAAATTATTAACTCATATTTCATTAAGAAAAAATATGGTTTTACATCCACCGCATGTGAGCATATATGATGCTGTGTTTCGTATGGTGAGTGTAGAGAACCTGAGGCCCTTTAACTGGAAACGAGGTATTCCATTTTATTCCTCAGGTGTGACATTGCATCTACATTTTAATTTTTAACCAAAGACAGATGTAGATATCTATGGGCAGCAGCATACAATTACCGGACTGTCAACTTGAAAAAAAAATACCTACTTCCAAACAAGTCTAAACAACTGCTTGTTACGAAATTCAAAGAGAATTCAACTTGTCATTTCTCCGTTACCTTGGATTGGTCGGTCCATTCTCCGCATCGTAATCTTGAGCACTGAAGCAGTATGGACGGTAACTGATAGCGCCTACAACTTGAGGATCCCTCTTTCTGATCTGGAGCACAATAATACTGTATATATATTATAGTATAATAATAATATAATAATGCACACACTATATGTAAAGATTTTGTATATTATGTTTAGGTGTTAACCATATAGATTAAATAAAAATAAATAAAATAACTAATTCGTTTTTTCAAATGATTTAACCATTTTAGTGTCCCCAAGTCCATATATGAACATAACGATTGTTTAACTATTGTGTCTTTTTCGTGGACAACGAAGAAACTACTAAAATTTAAAAAAAAAAATTGTAAAATTATATGCCATATTATACGTCCCACTGCTGGGCACAGGCCTCTCATTTCTGAGAGGGTTTCAGGGCAAGTAAGTGTCCGCCGTGCTGCTCCAATGCGTGTTGACGGACTTTGCGGGTCTTATATTTTTGTTTACCTTCACTGCCGAGTGGTAAATAAGCGCTCGAAGTTGCAATCAACAATTTTAGTGATGCGGGTGGGAATCGAACCCAGGTCTTTCGCGTACTATGATACTTATAGCGAGCGCTTAGTCTTCGAGCTACCAATCTATAGTAAAAAAATAAATAAACAAATCTTAACATAAAACCCTCACCTGATACAGAGTGAAAGGATTGAAACATGTGACCACCGCATACCGGTACAGAGCTGGTTGGTTAGAGAAAGCCTTCAAAATTCCATTCACTACCTGAAAATTTTATACTGAAATATAATAAACAAGTTTTTTTTTTAAATATTACTGAAGTAACAAACGATCTGTGGTCTGTATGCCACCTAATGGTAAGTTTTTTTTAACCAACTAAATTTTATTTTTAAAAAAGAGGGCGAAAAAGTGTGGCTCTCCTGACGGTAAGTCACTACCGCCGCCCGCGACCAACCGCAACACCAGGGGAATCGCAGATGCATTGCCGGCCTTTTAGAAAGGAGTAAACTCTTTTCTTGAAGATCCCTAAGTCGTATCGGTCCGGAAAAATCGCCGGTGGTAAACAATTCCACAGAGAAGTTGTACGCTGAAGAAAACTCCTAGTAAAACGCACAGTGGTGGACCGCCAAGCATCCAGATAGTGAGGATGGTGCCGTGACCTTTGACGCGATGTGCGTACGTGAAATTTGGAGGCTGGAACTAATCGGAACATTTCCTCAGAACACTCCCCGCGGTAGATGCGATAGAAAACGCAAAGGGATTCAACATCCCTACGCAGCGCCAATCGAGCCGATCAGAAAGAACTTGGTCATCGACGATTCAAATTGCTTTGCGCTGGATGCGGTCAAGTGGAAGGAGCTGGCACTGGGGTGCCCCAAACAAAGAAAACTACAGATTCGTCACATATGGGCTGGTGCAGCAAAATGCCACCTGGCAGCGTTGGAATTAGTGGAGAGACGTGCTAAGAGAGGCTCAATGGTGACCTTGATTTGGTTGAAACCAACCTTGTCAGCCTCGAGCACAGGTCCAGAATAGCCAGCCTCTCGGTATTCTATGGGATGCATTTCGGTGAGGGAACGCAGGAATTGCACGCTGTAATTCCTCCATCTCCTTTTCAACATTGGACGACCAGGCGGTTGGTGGGTCTGAAGTGGGTATCAAAGGGGTGACCCTTTGTTGTCGATATTCCACGCATTAGAACCAAACGGTTTATAACAATTAACAACGGTTTAAAAAAAATAATTTGCCGGCGTCTATCTTTCCGTCCGAATACAGTCTGTCTTCGAGGCAAGAGTGAATAGGTTTTTGTTACGCCAAAACTTACAGTAAACACAAAATGCTCATGTTCCAGTTCTATAAGTCAATCTTATTTTCATGCAAAAATAATTTGCCGGCGTCTATCTTTCCGTCCGAATACAGTCTGTCTTCGAGGCAAGAGTGAATAGGTTTTTGTTACGCCAAAACTTACAGTAAACACAAAATGCTCATGTTCCAGTTCTATAAGTCAATCTTATTTTCATGCTCATACATTAAATTTTCTTGAATATACTAAGAGAGTGATGTTAGAACACATGTTTTAAAATTTTCCTATTATAGCCTCTTACTGTCCTATTACAAAAAGTTGTTTAGAATTAGTCTGAGGTTAAGCTTGACTTACTTCACGAAAGACGTCCCGATTTTTTGTACGAAATAAGAGGGACAAACAAACAGTGCAACTGATGGTAACCGGATGCTGTGCCCCAAAGACATTAGCATTTGTCCTTAATTAAGAATCAAAAGATGCGTTGTCACTTCTGAGGCCTATGATAGAAGCCTAGCAGCAAAAGGCTTTCTGATTCTCTACAATCACCATCTGTACATACTAGATAGTCAACCAAATCTAAGAAATACATTCAGAAGTCAGAATTAATGCACCAAGCATGCCAACCAAAAAATGAGAACGTGCAATATTCGATTCTTAAAAAAATCGATATCGATTATTTAGTTTACAGTTTGATTTGAATAATACCAGAATAAATTAGAAACGGATAATTTGAAAAGCAAGAATTATCAGTTTCTTCGTATTTATTATTACTGCTTATTTCTACAGGCAAAGTTATAAAAAATTAAGATCGAAATTAGATTTAAAAATAAATTGATTCAATCACTTTCAGTACAACCAGTTGAAGTGTGTTGATTTTCAATCATGCAGTTAAAATTTTGTCTCTTTCAAAGTCATAATCGTCATCATTATTACAGCCTTTCACAAGTTCACTGCTGAACATAGGCCTCCCCCAAGTAATGTCACAAAGCACGGTCCTGAGCCACCTGCATCCTTCGACTTCCTGTATGTCTTACCAGGTCGTCAATCCATCTAGTGGGGGGTCGCCCTACACTACCCCCACCGGTACGAGGCTGCCACTCGAGAACCTTTTTCCACATCGGTTATCGGTTCTTCGAACTATATGGCCGGCCAATTGCCACGTCAGCTTGCTACTAATCCGTTGGGCTATGTCGGTCACTCTGGTTTTACTGCGGATATCCTCATTTCTGAGTTTATCACGCAGAGAAAACCCGAGCATAGCCCTCTCCATAGCTCGCTGAGCGACCTCGAGCGTCCTCATATGGCCAGCAGTGTAGGAACACGTCTCAGATCCGTAAGTCATCACTGGCAACAAGCACTGATTGTACAATCGTTTTCAGAGTTTGAGGTAAGACTAAAGCAGAGCATATTTCGGCGTCCATTCCCGACGAGCGCGCGAACTAAACCATAGATAAGAGTGTATATATGATGAAATAGATAAGAATCTCTAACGTAAAAATTGGCCGCGACAACAGCGCCGCCTGGAAGCTATAGTCAACCAAATCTAAGAAATACATTTTGACAGCTGTCAGACTTATAGCACCGAACATGTCAACCAAAAAATGAGAACGTACAATATTCGATTCTTAAAAAAATCGATATCGATTGTTTACAGTCGGTAATCATTTACAGTTTGGTTTCAATAATACCAGAATAAATTAAAAACGGATAATTTAAAACACAAGATTTATCAGTTTCTTCGTATTTATTCTTACTGCTTATTTCTACAGGCAAAGTTTTAAAAGTTTAAGATTGAAACTAGATTAAAAATAAATTTATTCAATCACTTTCAGTACAACTACTTGGGCTGTCGTTGTATAGATTAATTATTATTTGATTTTCAATAATGCAGTTAAAATTAATGTCTCTTTCAAAGTCATCCATGATCAATTTTTTGTTTTTTTCTATTTTTTACTCAATCAGCCTTTGTGACATGGGCACATGCTTCAACGAATAATAATAAATAAATAAGAAACAGTCCAAAAAGTTAAAGCCGAGTCACAAAATAAGAAGACAAACACAAAATTATAAAATAACACACAGTAAGCTCCCGAAATGGCGGGAGAATGAAATTACGTAGTCGTTTTTTCAGCGCGGCCTTGTATGTGAGTTTTTTTTTGTTGACAAAATAAAAAAATAAACTTGTTTTATTCATGATTCGTGTAATTTAAGGATTTTTAAAAATAATAATTTAATTAAACAAATAATACATAAAAAAATAATGATACGATTACTTGTATATTTTCACCGATTATTTGAATATTTTTGCCGATTATTCGCATAATAATGAATTTTAATCATCCAAATGCTACGGTTAGGTTCTGAGCGGTATATCATTGAAACGACGTCAAGTAAAAAAGTTGATAGTGGTTATTTTTTAATATTTTGTTTTGTTTGAAAGATTCGAATTTAAATTAGAGATAAAAAACTACACACGTTGTAATGAAATATAGATAACTTCATAATTCTTCGTAGTTACATAAAAGGTTATTTTAAATTGTGTGAGTACGCTTGTGCAAAGTTGTAGCGGAATGATTAATGTTAAACGTCAAAAGGTATTTCTTAGATTTTGTTGACTATATGTGCTTTTTTATGCTGGTATTCTGTGCTGACCCATTTGTGTTGATAACATATATTACCTATATTATTGTCAGCATCGTGACTACCACGTTAAAAAACCTAAAGTATAGAATTAGACAACAAAAGTCAAATTTTGCAAGAAATTCTTTTGTAAGAAGTACAATTTTTAAACATACATACATACATAAACACCCACGCCGGTCACCCGGAGGGGTAGGCAGAGACTACAGACTTCCATTTGGCACGATCCTGACACACCTCTCTCGCCTCCTTCACATTCGTATACCTACGCATACATGCTCGTCGGTTAAGGGTACCTACTTCTACTTTGGCCCATTTTCAATATATCGCCAATTTGGTCGATAAACTTTCGCTTAGGACTTCCCTTTCCGACTCTTCCGTTCACTTCTGCAACATAAATTTGCGTCACTCTTTCCTCATTCATTCTTTCTAATTCTCTTATCACAAAATCCATACTCCTTAATGACTAATTTTTAAACATGAGACTAATAATCCAAGTTTTGTAACAAGATGTTTTAGACATTAAAAAAATTAGGACTTTAATGACCGACGTCTATAGATCGGTACAAGGAAAAAAACTATTTACCTGTTTGTCTTCACCCTTAATGTCAATAATCATCCTTACATTATTGGCAAGCAAGTAATTTAGTGCATCGTCCAATAGACACAGGTGTACCTCTTTGAACTGTTGTCTAGAAAATGATACAGGTTAATTAGTAAAACCTTAATGTAATATTTTAACAACATTGTACACAGTTAAATAATAAATTACTATCTTATTTTATATTACTGTGACCAGCATTTTGATAAAAGCACTAATATATAGGGATGATATGGGCAGTAGAAACTTCCTGATAACACAAAAGAATAAAAACTCTTGTTGCCAAACCACATTCGTGGTACGGCAATATTTATTAATACCCCTTATTATTCAGTCTATGGAGGCTCTATTTCAAAAAGCCTGTTATATTTTTTATAGGACAGGGTGACAAACAGCACACAGTCCACCTGACGGTAAGTGGTTGGTGTGATAATGCGAACGAGCTTTCATGTGAGTTAAAAAGTAAATGTCCTCCAGACCGAATTTCGGCCACGGCGTCCTGCCTCAATAAAGACTAGCCATCGGCGCAAGACAGGATTATAGTGCCCAAGTGTATGCGCAAGCACAGGTGCACTCTATATTCCCTCACTCTCATAATCCGATAAGACGGTAAACAAACCGAACGGAGAGGGATCAGGCGCAGGACCAACGGCTTTACGTGCTTTCCGAGGCACGAAGATGAGACACCGCCCAATTCCTGACTCCGGGCAGCTACTGAGAATTTCTTGACGAAAAAACTCAATAATTGATTTTTGGCCTGACCCGGGATTTGAACCCAGGACCTCATGATCAGTAGGCGCACTACTCCAAACACTAGACCAACGAGTCAGTCAAGTACTGATTTACCACATGCTCAGCAGTGAAGGAAAACAATGTGAGGAAACTTATCTAGAGGAATAGAATATTTTAAGGTCATGTGCAGTCCACCAACAGGCACTGCAGATGGAATAGCACGACAAAATAACCTGCTCCATAGCCATTGAAGTAATATGTACTTACGTACTAGAACAGCTATTTCAAACAAAAAATGTGCGCTACTCTGTGTTCGCGCGGTTGTTTTTTTATCATAGAATAAACACAGGTAGAATGACCCTTAGGTAATAGTAGATTGTATAGTTAAATAGGTAAATTATATCAAGAAAAATATTTAAATTTTGTCATTTATTTTGTATATTATATTTGCTTATTTAATATAATATTACATAATATTATATCACAATTACATTTTAATGATATTTTTTATCTGAATATTTTAAAAGGTATCTATGTCATATTTAAAAAACATACTAAATGTATGTTTAATAAAACTTATTAACATAACATTTAAATTACAAATATATTTATTGAAATTAGATTAAGACTCGTTCATAAATGCTGGGCACGCGAGATTTAAAAATCGACGAATTTATTTCACTTTAATTTTGATGTGTAAACCTAAAAATAAAATAAAATAATAATAAGCAGATTTAAATATGAAACATTAAGCCTAATTATAATAACCTATATATGTTTCCACAAAAAAAAATGTGTGTAATTATATATTCGTCCTATACTTAAGTACCCACAGAAATGTCGCATCCTCAACTTATTAATTTCTTAATCTATATTCCATGACACGAGATGGCGTCTTAGGAATAATTTGTTTTATTATTAAACTATAATACTTTTTTATTGATTAAGTATCTTTTTAACCGATGAAAAGTAATTCCTTGGTTTTTACTGACATTTCTTGAATTATTTGTGCAATATCTAAGTACACACGACAGCATATTTTTATCAGGAGATTTTTTTTAATCAACACAACACGTGACAACTCTACAAGCGCCCAGCGAGTGACTGATTAAAGTGCGGTGTATGCACCGCAGTTGAGTGGAACAGAGTAGCTGAATGCCTCTAGTACGTAGTACATAATAGCTCAATGTCCATAACCCTCTCAGAAATGGGAGGAGGCCGATGCCCTTCAGTGGGACATATACTGGATGACCTTTTTTACCGTCTGGAATAAAATTGGGTGTAACATGTGAACGGAGTAGAAACCTACAGCACTGATATGTTACGAAAAATAAAAACAAAAATTTTGAATTAAATAAATTAATTAATCAAAATCTATCGAAATTCAAATCATATCCACCCTACTTTACAAACGGCAATAAAACAATAAAAATTTAGTAGAAATCTTTGACTTTGTCACTTCGCGGGGCCACTGACTCAAGGGCAAAGTAATTGTTAAAAAAATTTAAATGTTTAATTCATAATTTTTGCTTTTATTTTTTGTAAAATATCAGTGCCATAGGCTTCTACTCCCTTCACATGTTACACCCTATTTTTTTCCAGTCGGTAAAAAAGGTCATACAGTATATGCTGTAGATTTACTTTTATTTTACATCCCACTCATTCGTTGCCTTGTTCAAAATTAACCGGTTACATTCTTTTTCACGGCACTTCAGAAGCTCTTCAATTCCGTCCTCCATGGTGGCACTACTCCGGAGGCGTGGAGCAGAAGTGCGGTGGTCTTGTTCTTTAAGAAAGGCGACAACGCTCTCGTGAAGAACTACAGACCGATTTCCCTTCTGAGCCGCGTTTACGTGCTGTTTTCGAGAGTCATTACGAATCGTCTCGCACGCAGACTCGACGACTTCCAGCCTCCCGACCAATCCGGTTTCCGAAAAGGCTTCAGTACCATAGACCACATACATACCCTGCGGCAGATTGTACAGAAGTCCGAAGAGTACAATCTGCCACTTTGCCTGGCGTATGTGGACTATGAGAAAGCCTTTGATTCCGTCGAAATTTGGGCGGTGCTACAGTCCCTTCAGCGGTGCCAAGTTGACTATCGGTATATCGAAGTGCTGAAGTGTTTGTACAGTAGGGCTACGATGGCTATCCGAGTACAGAATCAGAGCTCGAAACCTATCCAACTGCAGAGAGGTGTAAGGCAGGGTGACGTTGTATCCCCGAAACTCTTCACCGCTGCATTGGAAGACGTTTTCAAGCTACTGGACTGGAAAGGATACGCTATTAACATCAATGGCGAGTACATCACTCACCTTCGATTTGCCGACGATATAGTCCTTATGGCAGAATCGCTGGAGGACCTTAGCACTATGCTCAATGACCTCAATGGTGTCTCCCAACGGATAGGACTTAAGATGAACATGGACAAAACAAAGATCATGTTTAATGTCCATGTCTCACCTATGCCGGTAGTTGTTGGGAGCACTATGCTCGAAGTTGTTGACGAGTACGTTTACCTGGGACATATAGTCCGACTAGGTAAGTCCAACTTCGACCGAGAGGTCAATCGACGGATTCAACTCGGCTGGGCAGCGTTCGGGAAATTACGACACATCTTCTCGTCAGGTATCAATCTCTGAAAACAAAAATGTACAACCAGTGCGTGTTGCCAGTGATGACTTCATTGGATCAGAGACATGGTCCTTCACTGCTGGCCGTATGAGGACGCTCAAGGTCGCTCAGCGAGATATGGAGAGGGCTATGCTCGGAGTTTCTCTGCGTGATAGACTCAGAAATGAGGATATCCGCAGTAAAACCAGAGTGACCGACATAGCCCAACGGATTAGTAAGCTGAAGTGGCAATGGGCCGGCCATATAGCTCGAAGAACCGATAACCGATGGGGAAGAAAGGTTCTCGAGTGGCAGCCTCGTACCGGTAGGCGTAGTGTAGGGCGACCCCCCACTAGATGGAGTGACGACCTGGTAAGACATGCAGGAAGTCGATGGATGCAGGTGGCTCAGGACCGTGCTTTGTGGCATTACTTGGGGTAGGCCTATGTTCAGCAGTGGACTTGTAAAGGGCTGTAATGATGATGATGATGATTCTTTTTCACATTTTTTACCTGATATAACACTTTGGCACTTCGGTATCCTTGTTTTATGGATTTTGTTTTATTTACTTGGGACTATTAAAATGGTAGCATGATTAATGTAGTTGGAAACTTTTGATTAACATATTATGTTTTTAAAAATATTTTAATTGGCATATACAGAAGTACCATGCAGTGTTGGTCGTAAGAGAAACAATCCATTACGTCATTACGCGACAGAGGAAAATAGAAACAGGAAACGGGCAGCAGCATCTTCTAAAGACAGAAGGTTAATAAAAAAGTAGGGTTACCAACCCGCCCCCCCACATGTGGATTTTTCCTTTATATAGGAAAAGGGTGACAAGCGATCACACAGTCCACCTGATGGTAAGTGCTTGCTGTGGCCCATTTACATCTACATCTATCTTCGATTGAGAATCAAAATGCAGATGCATTGTCAGCCTTGAGGACTAAGATGGAATGCTTCTTTTCCAGTAAAAAAGGTTTCCGGTTCTCTACACTCACCATACATAACACAGCAGTGTTAAACCACTATTTTACATTGGTATTCTGTGAGAGCGTGGTCCTTCCCCGGTCGAGCCGACCCATTGGTGCTACAACTATACAATTAATATAGCTGCAGCATGGCTCTACCACAAAAAAAAAAATTTTTTCCAATATCCACCATGCGAGGTAATCTTTACGAGGAGACCTATATCCAAAAGTTGACTTTTGAAAGATTATAACAAATGAAAAGTGGATTTAATCCCTACTTAACCTAGTGATTCATTGAAAAAGAATGTGTTTAGGTATTAAATCTATCAAATACACTATTTTTGGTACTCACCTATTAGGATGTGTCGCCCCAATATCAATGTTTTTAATCTTTTCCCAATCCATGATGTGAACATCAGTAATATCAGTGCCAGTTAGCCGCCCTAGGCCCTGATCATGCAATAAAACTAAATGACCATCTCGTGATGATCTCACATCTAGTTCTACAAAACGGCAATCCCTCTCAACACACTAAAAAGGAAAATAGAATATTAAACATTGTATAATAGTTATAGTAATTAATTTATATCTATATATATATATATATATATATATATAAGTTTATGTGTCAGTTAATCTTGCTTATCAATAAATGTAAGTTTAGCTTATTCCTTATCCTATAATACAATACTCTTTATTGTACATCAAGAAAAGATCATCATCATCATCATCATCACAAGTCCACTGCTGAAAAGGCCTTCAAGGAATGTCACAAAAAAGCACGACCCCTAGCCGCCTTCATCCATTGACTTCCTGTATGTCTTACCAGATTACTCCATCTAGTGGGAGACGCTCTACACTTCGCCTGCCGGTATGTGGCTGCCGCTTGAGAACATTTCTTCCCCATCGGTTGTATGTTCTTTGAACTATATGGCCAGCCCATTGCCACTTCAGCTTACTGATTCGTTGGACTATGTCCGTAACTATGATTCTACTGCAGATATCCTCGTTTTTAAGTCTATCACGGAGAGAAACCCTGAACATAGATCAACATAAGAAAAAAAATAATTGACCTTTAAAAAAGGAAAAACTAACATCGAATATTAAGAATTATCAAAACTGGTTGCGGTGTTAAAGAATTATTTGCCCATATGTCGTGCAGATGCCTTTGCAAATTAAAGAGTATGATGATTTTCTCATAGATTCCATCATTAGACCTTTATAAAAGATCGCCTATAAGGTACTCCATTCTAACAAAAAAGGTTCAGGTATTCATGGTAGAGACATGCTGTAGTTATATTACGATTGATTGATTGATTAAATAGGTCCGAGCAAATAAATCTAACAGAATATAAGTATAAAATGGTAGCTTAATGCTGCTGTGTTTAGTGTGGTAAGTGTACAGAACCGGAAAGCCCTTATAATGGAAAAAAAGGCATTCCATTTTAGTCGTCAGGGAATACAATGCATCTGCATTTTGATTCTTAATCAAGGATAGATGTAGATTTCAATGAACACATTAACTACCTATTTACTGTCAAGTGGACTGTGAGCTCGTTTGTAAACCTTATTCTATAATTTTTTTATTGTAATTGGGCAATATAGCATTGAATTATTAACTGAACATGTATTAAACCAAATTGCCAAATTAACAACCTATTTTCGAAGGTGATTAAAAGCATACAATTTACCACATGCTTGGTGGTGAAGGAATGGAGTCCTCAAGGTCTGAGAAATAAGAAAAGAAAATATTTCGAAGACATGTGAAGTTCGCCAACACACATTGGGGCTGCACAACAGACATTTCTTAGGTCTAAAATCCTCTCAGAAATGGGAGGAGGCCTGTGCCCAGCTGTGGGACATATGTAGGTTGTAACTATAGTCAAACAAATCTAAGAAATACATTTTGACAGCTGTCAGACTTATTGCACCAAGCATGCCAACAAAATGGGAATGTACAATATTCGATTCTTTAAAAAAAAGATATTGATTATTTAGAGTTAGTAATTATTTACAGTTAGGTTTGAATAATAGCAGAATAAATTAAAAACGGATAATTTAAAACACAAGATTTATCAGTTTCTTCGCATTTGATGTTACTGCTTATTATAGTAAGAACACAAACACAAAATCACAAAATTACAGTGCTGCGATGAAACTTGTGAAGCTAGATGACTTGCAGGATATGATGATGAGATATATCCCGCAGGCGCAGGACCAACGGCTTTACGTGCACTTTCGCAGATTACTTGTCTTCTTCTCGACTCACCGCAGACTTCAAGGCAATCTCCTGGCACTTGCACATTCGTCGGCAACGAGGCTATGGACCTCCGGTCTGAGCAGGGGGTGATGTGGCGGTGCTGTCGTCACGCCGCAAGCGAAACACACCGAAGCCTAAATCACGCTATCAATATTCCGAATCGTAAACAGTATATATAGAACATCTCTGAACTATCACATGGAGCGTTGGTCGCTCCCCGGGCAGAACACCTTGCCCGGCGGGAGATCTCCCCTTTTCCTTCACGGCCACAAACCTTTTACGTAAATCCGAAGAATTATGAAGTTGTCTATATTTCATTACAACATGTATAGTTTTTTATCACTAATTTAAAATCGAACCTTTCAAACAAAGCAAAATATTAAAAACCTAACCACAATCAACTTTTTTACTTGACGTCGCGTCGTTTCAATGATATGTCGCCGTAGTGTTTGGATGATTAAAATACATTGTTATGCGAATAATCGGCAAAAATATTCAAATAATCGGTAAAAATATTCAAATAACCGAATCACTAATTTTTTATGTATTATTTGTTTAATTAAATAATTATTTTTAAAATTCCGTAAATTACATAAATAATGAATAAAACAGGTTTATTTTTTTATGTTGTCATCGTAAATTTGTGTAGGAAAAAAACTCATATACAAAGCCGCGCTGAATAAATCACTACGTAATTTCAATCTCCCGCCATTTCGGGAGCTTACTGTGCGTAATTTTGTGATGTTGTGTTTGTCTTCTTACTTTGTGACTCGGCTTTAACTATTTGGACTGTTTCTTCTGAAGCATGTACCCATCTCACAAAGGATGATTGGGCAAATGGGGCAGAAAAAACAAAATAAATTGATTATGAATGACTTTAAAATTAATCTACTCAAATAATAATTAATCTAGACAACGACAGCCCAAGTAGTTGTACTGAAAGTGATTGAATAAATTTATTTTTAATCTAGTTTCAATCTTAAATTTTTATAACTGTGTCTCTAGAAATAAGCAGTAACAACAAATACGAAGAAACTGATAAATCTTGTGTTTTAAATTATCCGTTTTTAATTTATTCTGGTATTATTCAAACCTAACTGTAAATAATTACTAACTCTAAATAATCAATATCAATTTTTTTATGAATCGAATATTGTACATTCCCATTTGGATGGCATGCTTGGTGCAATAAGTCTGACAGCTGTCAAAATGTATTTCTTAGAATTGTTTGACTATAGTTACAACCTATATATGTCCCACTGCCGGGCACAGGCCTCCTCTCATTTCTGAGAGGATTTTAGACCAAAGAAATGTCTGTTGTGCAGCCACAATGTGTGTTGGCGAACTTCACATGTCTTTGAAAGATTTTCTTTTCTTATTTCTCAGACCTTCAGGCTTCCTCACGATGTTTTCCTTCACCACCAAGCATGTGGTAAATTGTATGCTTTTAATCACCTTCGAAAATAGAAAGAGGTTGTTAATTTGGCAATATAGTTTAATACATGTTCAATTAATAATTCAATGCCATATTGCCTGATTACAATAAAAAATTATAGAATAAGGTTTACAAACAAACTCACAGTCCACTTGACAGTAAATAGGTAGTTACTGTGGTTCATTGACATCTACATCTATCCTTGATTAAGAATCAAAATGCAGATGCATTGTATTCCCTGAGGACTAAGATGGAATGCCTTTTTTCCAGTATAAGGGCTTTCCGGTTCTGTACACTTACCATACTAAACACAGCAGCATTAAGCTACCATTTTATGCTGATATTCTGTTAGATTCATTTGCTTGGACTTATTTAATCAATCAATCAATCGTAATATAACTGCAGCATGTCTCTACCATGAATACCTGATCCTTTTTTGTTAGAATGGAGTACCTTATAGGCGATCTTTTATAAAGGTCTAATGATGGGATCCATGAGAAAATCATCATACACAATAAGACATATGGGCAAATAATTTTTTAACACCTCAACCAGTTTTGATAATTATATTTTTAATATTCAATGTTAGTTTTTCCTTCTTTAAAGGTCAATTATTTTTAAGCTATTGCATAGCTTCTATCGCGGGCCTTGAGCGCGGGGACCGAATCCAGAAATTCCGTAACGAAAAAAAACTTCACGCTCCCCACTCCGACGGGCACGGAGATGTGGCGTTGAAAGCCGTGCATCGTCTAACGTCGTTTTAGTTCGGCAGACTTCGGCACTCGGCAGACTTTGGCACGGTGTTTGTATGCGTGCGACTAGACGTATGCGTGTACACTAGCTGCTAACTCAATGATAAAAATTCCTGAATAACCTACATGTATTGTAAGATATTAAAAATATTTTAAACAATATTAACTTCTCATTTATTCAATAAGAGAAAAAAAAATTGTTTTCTTATCGGTCACCACGCTCAAAAAGTGTAACTTGATTTAATATCAAAGACTTAACTGCATAAATAAAATAAATAAATAATTATAATTGCATAAGTTGATAAAAAATGCTATGCAATAGCTTTACCGCGGCAGTCACCGAGTGCCACACGTATTTTTTTTCTTATGTTGATCTATGCTCAGGGTTTCTCTCCGAGACAGACTTAAAACGAGGATATCTGCAATAGAATCATAGTTACGGACATAGTCCAACGAATCAGTATGCAGAAGTGGCAATTGGCTGGCAATATAGTTCAAAGAACACATAGAATTTAGTATTTTAGTTTAGATTTTTTTACTAGGAGTTTTCTTCCTCGTACAACTTCTCTGTGGAATTGTTTACCACTGGCGATTTTTCCAGACCGATACGACTTAGGGACCTTCAAGAAAAGAGCTTACTCCTTTCTAAAAGGCCGGCAATGCATCTGCGATTCCTCTGACTTTTACTTGTCATTGGGGTTGCCACAGAGCTCCATGCATGATGATTTTGAAAATACAAGTAAATAAGGCTTCTAGTTCTATTTGAAATTATCCCAAATTGGATGTGATTTATGGGCAACAACGTTTTTGCCTACTGATCGACCCTTACAAATTTGTTAATGCGCAGTATAATCCATTAAAATAATGCATTACCATGCATTCTGAATGATAAAAATGACAAAATGTTTGAGATTTTTTTATAAATTTTTCTTCACCATTTTTTTTAATGTGTGAGCAGCTATGCAGGTCTAGGAAAAGAGACCTGTATCACTGCAACCTAAAAGATCTATTGTGATCGCTGCTATGGCTATATTTCACTGCTAAGCTCTGTCTTCAATGAATAGAAGGAGTTGCTTAGCCGTGAGAAATTCACTTCTTCTGGGCAGAGTTTCTTCACCATTTGCTTATATTACTTATTCTGAATCATCTCTGCAAATTTGGCCGGTTATTGCAAAATAGCCCTGTATATATTAAAACTTCATACTCTATTTTTGCAACCTTAATAGTGGTATGTTTTCTACAAATTTAAAAAGAAATTGGATCACCTTTGACGAAGATATCATATAACATACAATAAAAACACACAAATTAACTATTAATTCTTCTTTTTTTAGTAACTGCATCATCGTCATCATCATGCCCTTTTTATTAAAGTCAGCTAATAAAAGAGACTGTTATTGATGACAATAACTTTCATATAGGTCACAACTATGGTCACCATTATGTTTACAAATCAGACAATCAATATAATGTTAATATGAAGCAGAAAAACTTTTTACAACTGGTAATATTTGTTAAATAATGCACATAGGTAAATTTTTTATAGAATATGAAATTTCTATAATCAGAAAGATCTCATGGATTTTAATAGATGGTCATTTTATTTTAGTCAGATGTGGTATTTTGATTGTCAATTTGTCTACCCAGTGCAACGATTACAGCAGGTCAGTCTCATGTCCAGAATTGAAGCTCTATGGGCGGATAAAGAAATAAGTATAGTTTGTCGTAATCAATAAAATTAACAAATAAATAAAATGATAACATTAAAAGCAATTGAACTTTAAAAACAATACTAATAATCAACGATATACACAAATAAGGAATAACTTACGTATTTAAATGCTTGTATGGTGTTCTCGGGAGCATCTAAACCCGCTCCTCTATGAGCTATGCATTTAACAACTTTCTCAGGATGTAAGTCGCTTTCCTTGCTCCAGGGGTCAGGACCGAATATACTGACCACATTATCTGGATCTGGCTTCTTTAACCTCGTAATATAATACGCCGCGACTCCCAATATCCCAACATCGATGCCAAAAGGTAAAACTGAATGTAAGAAGGGTATAAACTTGTATAAAAAAGAAATAACATAATACGCACTGTGGTATATAAATTTTAAAGTCGTCATAAACATATTTTCGTTCGTTCGTTGTGATTTTTATATAAGTGTATGTTACGATTTTCGAAAATAAATAAATAAAAATACGGGAAGGCGGGGCTTCATATTTGACAGCGACACATCTATGGTGACACATTTACGTTCCAAACCACTGACTGTGTCCCGAATCGAAATCCTGAATTGCTCTTTATATACTTTCTCTTCTAATTTGTCTTATTTTAGAGATGTTATAAAAACCAGTGAAAAATCAGAGCATCAACTTTTAATGTATGTGAAATTAATATAATAACAAGGTAATAAAATAAGTTTTTAAGAACTTACTTTTAACAAACATACCGAATGTTTTTCTCCATAAAAGCAACTACTCTTATCTACGAAAGCAACTAACAACGAGATAGATAATATACTATATAGAGTTGACTGCGAGCAAGAAAAGAAATGAAAGTTATAAAGTTGTTTAAAACGACTATAAATCAATAGCACGCTACAGACTATATTTATATAATTTTCTAACGCGCTATTAAATACGCTATGTTGAAGCGCGCTATTCGTAAGAAGTAGGCCAACAAATGCGTTAAGCTTTGCAGCAAGCTATATCTCGTAGCACGTTGCATTATATGTCGTTCATTGGTTAGACCGCGTGCTATACAAGAACATTATTTCGTAATAAGTCGCATTTTAGACTAAAATAAAATAAAGCGGTAAAGAAAAACCAATGAACGCTTTTTCATATTTCTCAGGCTTACGACTTTCTATAATCCTAAAAATATTTTTAAGGCATGTACTTTTTAAAACGTCTACATCAATTATAATAAAAAATAAATCAAATTAATTATTTTTTATTATAATTGATGTAGACGTTATTTTAACCTTAATATAAATTACAAAACAAATAAAAGTTTTAATTAAAATTTTATTAATTGTATTTATAAAAATCAACTATATACATACACTATTATATACACTTTTGTATCTATATTTTATTTATATTTAAAATAATTAGGCTTCTTTTATAGCAGACAACTGTGTCCTTCGATCACTTATAAATATACAGTATACACTATCTAAACACCGTCTAACACTAAATTAGGTCGCGCGCCAAGAATAGCGTGCTACTAGATCAAATTTGCGTCACACGTTCTCTCCCAACAGTGCTGCTGCTAGAACTATAAAGTTGCCATGCCGCTAGATATTAATATTAATACTTAATAGCGCCAAAGCACCATAGCGCCATGGCAACTACTTACATAGCACGCGCTATATGTTATGGAGAGATAGCGCACTATAATATGACGCTATGTGCTATATTAGCTACAATTAGAAAGTTACGAAAGACAGAAAACTAGGTAGTAACGTACTAATGGCTTATGCTAATAACTTTGGGCTTTACCTAGGAGTGCCGGATTGGAAGACCAAAATATCTGGACAAATTTTCAAAATGTCGGGATTTTGAGGTTGTTGTCGGGTGAAACAAATATTAAATACTATAAATAAAAATGTTAAATAAAAAGTTTATTTTGTAAATGAATAAGCTACAAAAAGACTTTGAATATTGTTGACACAAATAATTTAAGTACACTCAATTTTACGGTTGCCACATGTACTTTACTGAGTCCAGCAATTTGGATCTTTTTATTAGTATTCATTAGATCTAAAATTCAAACAATTTACTTAATAGTTCATTCTAATTACTAACTCAGCTTTTATTCAATCAAAAGCAGCTGTGAAGAGAATGTGAAGAGCAGCTGTTTTTCTGGAGATTTTGAGTTTTGTCGGGAGTCTGTATCATTTAAAATGTCGGGATAATCCAGACGAATCCTGACCATTTGGTAACCCTAGCTTTACCTTACAATAACCGTCTAATTCTACCAATGTAGCCGAGTTGTCGTGATTACTTGCTTTGCACAGTAGTGTAGTAAATTAGAGTAGTTATACATAATAGCTTGCTTGTGTATAATAAATATTTATGTCTCGTAGGTAACTGCAATACTTCAATAGAATCTTAATTGTAGTACCTTTCTTAAATTATGTGACTGTTACGAGTTTAAAAAAAACTAAAATCACGAAACTTTGTAACAAGCAACGTCTTCGTCGTGATTGGCATTAAACAAAAACTGTATAGAAAGGGTTGTTATGATATAAATCTGGACAAAATTTATATCTATCATAATAACCCTTTACTACATGGTTGATAAAAACCTCTGAGAATAAGGTGGTCGCTTCCAAGCTGTTTCTAAAATAAATTTTGTAAATATTTTGTGACCCTTGATATTGTAAAATATATTTTAAAAAAGGGCCCGCTGGGTTTCTTGTTGGTTCTTCCCAGGACAGAGTTTTTTTTTTCGAACCAGTGGTAACGTAAAATATTGACTTTCAATAAGAATTAAGTGCAATCTATATTGAATAAAAAAATTATTCTATCCTTTTCTATTCACTACGTTTCGCGGAAATCATTTAACGGCCCACGTATACTATAGGTAGGTACACATCAAGTTACACTTCTTATACTATTATTTATTCGGAGGTTACACCGAAACTATGCTCATCTTATTATAGAAAGAAACACACTCACGCATACATGCCCCATTTCTAACTCTAAAACCATTTGCAACTAACAACAATGCATATGTGTACCTATGTCCAACTTTGGACTCTGACAGACTAAAGAATAAATAAGAAAAGAAGGAAGAAATATGACAGAGTCTGACTGAGTTCAAGAAGTTGCGTATGGTTTTAGTTTCGACAACCTTTGCAATTATTAGTCGTATTTCACAAATGCATGTATTTTTCCGTCAAACAATATTTTGAAACCTTAAAAATAGTGGTGCTATTTTTAGTTTTTTTGTAGTTTTTTTTTTATAGAATGAAGGTGACAAATGACCACACAGTCCCCCTGATGGTAAGAGAAGGTACTGTAGATCATATTATATCTACAGCAGCAATCCTTAGTTACGAAATAACAAGCAGATACATTGACCCTAGAGGACTAAGATGAATTACCTCATTTCCAGTATAAAGGATCTCTTCTGTACACCATACGATACAAAGCAGCATTAAGCTGGTATATTACGCTGGTATCAGTGAGAGCTCTGGGTGACAGGCGTGAGCGTTTATGTTTATGTATTACGCTGGTATCAGTGAGAGCGTGCTCCTCCCCCGGGTGAGCCGACCCATTCGTGCCACAACTTTATCATAGCTGCAGCATTACTCTATCACGTTCACGCATTTTAAACAAATGAATGGTTCTAATATTTAATACGCTCATTAGGTGTACAAATATGATCAATGTATAAGTTTATTTAGTATTTCGTGTGGTCATGATGGTTCAAATGCGGTAGAATTATCATTTTCTTTTCAAAACAATTTAGGGAATAATTAGATTTTGATCAATTACGCTTTCATAGTAGTAAAAATAAAAATAAATTATTTCTAAATTAATGCAAATAAAAAAATAACTTTAGTTACATACACATTTATTTTGTAACATTTATTTATTACATTAAAACACATAAGTACCTATTTCTACTATTTTAAAATTTTAAATTTCTCCAGGTTCACGAAAATGGTGGATAATACAATTTTTAAAGTATTTAAGAGGCCCTTATTAAGGCGGTACCACGATCAAAACCACATTGCACGTTCCAATTTGTTTTTATGTGTTATAAATATATTTAAAATCTACTTTTAAAAATGACTAAAATTATTGATTACACGTATCTGTTCCTAAAGGCAACGCTCTAATCATTTGAGGAAAACACTAAAAACTTTTAAATAGATAATTTTAAAATCTATATTATTCACGTTTTATTTAGTTTCCTAAGTTCCTTTTTCTTTTTTTTATTGAAATAATTCCAAAAATTCGAGCGTATTTTTACGCGATATATTGTAGCGAGAGCGCGTGGATTGTGTAGGACCGAACGCTCAAGGTCGTTCGCTAGGGGAAACGCCTTACGCGATTTTCATAATTTTACTGAATACTCTATGGTCAAATTAAGTTTGGAAAGAAAACCATCATGGTTGTAACTGAACTAACATATAGAATTTAAAACAATTTAGGATCATTAAATCTTATATAAATACCTAATTCTATGATTAAAACTACTTTTACGGATTTTATCGCGTTTATTTTTTTTTTCTTACTTTTTATTTTTATTTTTTAATTCCCGACGTTTCGGGCGCTTTCCAGCACCCATGGTCACGGGGGACTGAGATGACTGACGTCCCGATGTCATTGTTAAACCCGGAGTACCTTCAGCTTTTTTTTAATTATTGTTTATGGTCCGATCTATGCAAAATGAACTGACTATGTCCTGAGGTCTTGCAGTGGTATGCTTGGGTTTAGTTTTAATTTTATTGATTATAGGATCCCAAGCAGGTGGTAGTACCCAGCCTCCTTCTCTATTGAAATTAGGGTGTTTTTTAATTTCAATAGCCTCACGTATCATCCTTGGTAGGAATCGGTGATCCCTCGTGCTCTCTGTAACAAAGAGAGAGAGAGAGAGAGCACGAGGGATCTGTGACAGCAAACACCTGGCCGCCGAGCTTCAGCACGTCAAGCAAGTTCTGCACGACAACAAGCTTCGGGTCCCGCGCCTACGTCACAGTGACCGAGTGAAGCCGGCCACAGTCGAGCGTGTGCCTGCTGTACTACCATATGTCAGAGGTGTCACAGACAAGATTGGCTATATCTTGAAGCGAGCTTCTATTAGAACATTCTACAAGCCGCCGAAGAAGATTAGTCAGTTCCTACCATCCGTCAAGTGTCATATTCCTCTACAAGATGCAGGAGTGTACAAGCTTGATTGTGAATGTGGTCTCTCTTATATAGGACAAACCAAAAGATCAATTAGGACCCGCGTAAAAGAACATATAGCTGATGTGAAGCATCAACGTTCCGGGAAGTCTGCAGTTTGTGATCATATCCTAG